ACGCTAGCGCTATGAGGTCTTCATCCGATAATGTCATGGTTGTATCCGGTTTGCCACTCTTTGGTGCACCCTCGTAAACTGAACCGGTCTTAAGGTCCAAAGCTTTAGTAAAAAAAAATTAAATTATAACATAACTGTTGTAGAGTGGTGGACAGATATCATAAACCTCATAAACTATTAGTGTCATTTACATTTAAATATCTATATACTAGTATTTTGACTATCAGTTAAATTACAGTAAAAATAAATAATTAAACTCTTTAATATTACCATAAAAACAATAAAATAAATACTTAACTCCTTTGACCGCTATTATGTATGTCAATGATGTCATTATGTTCAATTAAAACTATTTATTACTATTGTTTGTTATTGTATTAATCTTACTAATATTATAGAACGAAAGCTTAGATGGATGGATGTTTGTTAGGATTCGTAGCCTAAATGGCTGAATGGATCTCAATGAAATTTGAAAGAACACATAGGCTTTTTTAATTCTACAGACGGAGTCGCGGGTGACAGCTAATCATGGTATAATAAAATATTAATTTTAATACTTACTCCATTGCTTCACAGTCTTGCCATTCTCAGTAATATTGTAGAGATAGATAGCTCCAATAGATTTAGCTAAGGAAGGATTAGCTTTTACTTGTTCATCAATCTTTGCGAACAATCCATCACTCTTCAAGTTAGATGATGACTGACTGGGAGCGGATGTTGCTGCATTGTCACCTTTCACAACATTCTTAAGATCGACGAAAGCACCTGTGTAAAATATCAAAACTTATGTATCTTAATTGTGGTGAAAATTCTGGCATATAAAACCTCAGAATAAGGAATAGTCTAAAAAAAAAAACTTATTACAAAAAAAGTAAAATTATTACTTAAATAAGAATCTAGGATAGGACGAACCTTTATGGATCAACATGGCTTTTTATAATAAAAATGGTTGCAGTCATCAATACTAATATTATAAAGAGGAAAGATTTGTATTTTTGTATATCGATTGACGTAAAAACTACTGGGCCGATTTCAAACATTCTTACACCATTAGAAAGGTAATTCATCTGTGAGTAACATAGGCTTTTTAATTTCACACGGGCGAAGTCGCGAGCAGTGTATAATAATTTGAACTTTGTGATACTCTTTATTGGGTACATTCCATGAAACAGTTATCACTACTCGTTCTCTCTTCTCTCTCTCTCTCTCTCCTACTTTAATACCTATTTCACATTTGTTTTATATTGCATAATTGATTTTGTAAAAGCTGGCCATTTACAAAATCAATTGTGATTTTGATGGATTCCATTAGTTCATGAAAAAGTATTAGTCAAATATCCATTGTTCTGAAATATAAATACCTGAAATAACAACATTGCCGGTTTCCTTGGTCTTGGTCTGGAAGTGCACCCTCGTGCCCTCCAGCCACATCTCCGTGACGA